TTTGCCGCTGAGCTAAATCCCCAGCCCCTATTGGTGTATTTCCCTCTTGCCTTCTGGCCATCGTTTTAAAAAGTGCCCTGAACTTAAGCTTGTACAGGCTGCATCCTCATTATTCCCTTTAACCTTCCGTTGTACACATTTTCCACATCAATGAATACTTCAGAATGTGATTCTTTCTGGCCGCACTCTACCACTGTGGGCACCGCGACTCACTCACCCAACCTGCTGCTCCTGGACGCGTAGATAATTTCTGCATTTTCCCGATGATCATAAGTGGTGCGACATCCTTGTGTGTACATGTTGTCCACCTGCCTCTCTGATAAGCTTTGAGATAAAGTCTTCGCAGTGAAATTCTGGGTAAAGAAGTGTGAACATCTTTGAAATGATTTTTGATTTACAGAAAAGTTGCAAAGATAGCATGGGGTTTCTACCTACCCTTCACCAACTTCCTCTAGTGCTATTATCTTACCTAACAGGGTACATGAGTCAAAAGTTATAAACTAACGCTGGTGTGATGCTATCAGTGAAAGCCCAGACTATTTGGATTTCAGTAAATGTCCTTTTCCTGTTCCAAAATCCAGTCCAAGATACCATGCTGTAATTAGGATGTGAGTATTTCTAAGGCTTTTGAGATATACGTAAGTGTGTGTGTGTGTGTGTGTGTGTGTGTGTGCACAAACACATACAGAAAAGTTATATCAATTTATGTTAGCACTAACAGCATTGCTGGGTCAAAAGGGATTTTGCTAAATTAGGCATGTTGTAATAACAATAAAAATGTGACTTTCTTGGGCAATTTTTCTTTTTTTCTTTCTCTCTTCCCTTTTCTCTTCCTTTCTCTTTCTTTCTTTCTACCTGTCTGTCTGTCTTTCTCTCCATATCCCCCCTTCCACTCTCTTCTTTTCTTTTGAGATTTTGAGACCAGTTCTTGCTGTGTTGCCTAGGCAGGTCTCAAGCTCACGGGGCTCAAGTGAGCCTCCTGCCTCAGCCTCCCAAGTATCAGGGTCTATAGGTAGACACCATCATGCCGGGCTGTTGGGCATTTTTACTGCTAGTGAGCTTCTGACTGATTTCATGTTTGATGGCAGCTAAGTTTCCATCCAAGGTGACACACAACCAGGGTGAGGCATCTTCAAGCTGGGACTACACTGTGCTAAGTCACCCAGGAAGGGGCCGCAGGGCAGGCCCACATGTACAGGCCATTTTCTAAACTCTAGTTTCGTTTTTCTCCTCCTCCTCCTCCTCTTCTTCCTCCTCCCCTTTCTTCCACTCCCTCCGTCTCTCTTTTTGAGGTCGGCCTCACCATGCTGCCCAGGCTGGCCTTGAGTCACTGATCCTGCCTCAGCCTCCCACGCAGCACTCCATAAGGCTGCAGGGAGAGGACCACAAGTTTAAACTCAGCCTGGATAATTTAGGGTTTAGTGAGACTCTGTCTCCAAAGTGGGTGGGCTGGGCGTGGTGGTTCACACCTATAATCCCAGCACTCAGGAGGTTGAGGCAGGAGGATTGCTGTGAGTTCCAGGCCAGGCTGAAGTGCATAGTGAAACCCTATCTCAAAAAGATGAAAAAAAAAAAAAAAGTGGGTAGGTGGGATGTAAAATCCTAGGTCCAATCCCCAGTACCCCAAAGAAAAGCACTGGACAAGCAGGTGGACACTGGGCACGCTGCTGTGAGGGAGACTGAGCCGCACCTTAGGTGGAAGGGGTGACCTCAGTCCACCCACCTAAGCAGCCAGAAATGCCCCTGAAATCAACTCAGCACTGACCGAGCTGAGCGCCCATCTTGCCTGGTGGGAAGAGGTCCCGCTTGGTCATCAGGCTGCCCAGCGGCCCCGCCTCCCCACCTCCCACGGCCTCTGCTTCTCCCCGCTCCCTGGCCCCTCCTCCCTCTGCCCTCTGTTTCCTCCCTCCTGGACCCAGCTCCCAGCAAAAGGGAGGCCAAGGAGAGCAAGCTCTGGAAGCGCCCCTGGGTCCTGGGAGTCAGACATCCCCTGTGGCAGGGGAGCCCAAGGGAGGGCGGACCCGAGACCTTCTCGGAATGAATGGGAGGGGGAAGGGTGACGCAGCCGCCCAAGATGGACACATATCTGAGAAAACAATCTGTCCACGTGCATGAGAAACGAGAAGCTAGAACCTCTTGTCTCAAACTGTCCCAAACGTGCCGTGTGACCTCCTGCACGTACCATGCATTGTCAAGGAGTTCCGGCTTCCTTGGTTGTGCAATGAGGGGAGGGCTGCAGAAACCTCTAAAGCAGGCAGAGGCCGACAGTTCCTGGGAGGACACAGCGTTTGCTTTGTTGTCCCCAGACTTTCCCGGGACTGACCAGAACACCACCGTCGCTGACAGAGTTTTACTACGGCCTGAGGGTCTAATGCACGTGGGTTATGTGCAGCGCTGTGTAACCCTCATGGCAAATACGAGTCGGCTCTGGGCTTGGCCTGAGTGTTCCCCGGGCTTTATCTCGTTTTATCCGCACAGCCTGTGTTGGGCTGGGCCTGTTGTTTTCATTTTATGTAGGAGGAATCAGAGGCCCTGGGAGGCCCAGTATCTTTCCCACAATGCTTTGTTGAGTGAGGGCTGCTGCTGGTCAGCTCCGAAGCTGAGCCTGGAGAGGGAATTGCAAGGCAGCCGTCCTAGGATGAGTGTGTGGCCGCCTGCAGAACCAGTCTAGGAAAGCCCTCTCTGAGGAGATCCCCAAGTCCTGGAGGAGCAGAGAGAATTAGGCAGGAAGGAGACTTTTCTAGGAGTGCCGGGGTCCCTTCCTGGCTGTAGGCTTGGGACCCTGACAATACCCGCCCTGCAGTGGCATTCGTACAAAGGAAGCACCAAGGGGCTGGGGATTTAGCTCAGCAGCAAAGCGCTTGCCTGGCAAGTGCAAGGTCATGAGTTCGGTTCCCGGTACCGGAGAAAAACCAAAAAAAAAAAAAAAACAAACCAACAAAAACAAAAAAAAACAAAGGAAGCACCAGAGCACCCTTCCTGCTGCGTTCCTGGGAGGCGCGGGGTGCCTGGGGCTGGACCCTGACTCTGCGGGGCTGAACACCCATGCTCCGTGCACCCCGCAAGGCCAGGCCCCACTTCCAGGGCTCAAGCTATAGAGGATGATGGGGCCAGCACCGCTCAGGGTGACACCAACAAGCCCTCCCTCAGAGGTCCTGTCACGTCCTGCCCTCTAAGTCCCCCGCCCCAGAGCTGCTGCTCCTCTCAATTTATACTTTTCTCTCCTTTGAGAAAAGTATAAATTGGCCACAGAAAGAGAGTGCACCTAAGACCTTGTAACCTGCCCAAGATGCAACCCACCCAGCTTTCTTGATCAGCTAGTGGGGAGGTGGCGTCTTATTTATCCACATCTTACTTAAGCCAGATTTGGGGTGATTGACTCAAAAATTGGCTTGGGCTCTGTTTTCCGTTTGTCCTGATGAAGCTCTTCCCTGGGGGCTCTGGTCAGCCACAGGAGAGCACAGCAGAAATATGAGCCACGGAGTTAGAAAGGCCACGCTTTACTTCACAGGTGGACGCGCAGCAGCTCGGTGATGCCAGGGCCTCGCTCGGGGTCACACAGCTGTCTGGGGACAGCCTTGGGTTTGGACATCACGGTTCCTGCCTCTCAGCCCTGTGCTCTTTCGACAGCATCTTACACAATTTACCCTATGGCAGAGGAGCAGGATTAGCACCTCTGAAACAATTGCAGAACTGGTGGGGGCCAGAGTTCCCCTTGCTGGTGATTTCCCACCCACAGAGGGCTTGTTGCCAATACCATTATCTTGTTTACTTACAGATGCTTGCTTGGGGGTTGCAATTTTCTTTTGAGGCCCTGGGGATTTCTGGAATTAAAAAAAAATTCAGTAAAATTGAATTCCTCTAATTTTGCCCAGTTTGTGTTTCTTCAGCATGTGTGTGTGTGTGTGTGGCTGCTCCAGCACTTCACCTCCTCAGACCATTTCACACAGGTTGGGTTGGGGTTGTGGTTGTGTTGAATGGGGTCATAAAAACAGGGGAGTCTTGAGAAGGGAGACCTGTGCCCCATGCACAGGCTGTATCAGGTCACCTTTTTTGGGGGGTGTTTTTGAGATAGCGTCTTGCTTTGTACCCCAGGCTGGTCTTGAACTCACGGCGATCCTCCTGCCTCAGCATCCCAAGTGCTGGGATTACAGGTGTGCACCAACACACCCAGCTTGGGCCACCTTATTGACTAGAACACTTCATATGTGGAGAAGGTGGGGTCTGCTGTGCCTGTCCCTTGGCGGTGGGGTCTCTGAGTGAAAGAAAGGGAGGCTGGCAAAGGGCTCTTGGAATCCGCAGCAACAGATTTTGAAGACTTCCGATTTAAGGCCAGTGTTATCATCCGTTCAGTCACTTGCTCAGGTAATCCTGGAGAGCATTTAAGAAACAATTATTGAAAGTCACCTCTGGATAAAGGTCCCAATAGGTTCCAGAAAGGGTTGTTTTATGCTCAGAGCTAGGTCTAGGCTCTATTCTCTCCTCCATAGGGGAGAATTAGTCCCTGCAGGGCCCAAGGCCTGCCCTAGGGCTCCACTAGGCCTGCTGGGCTCCAGCGTTGCTCCTGGAACGCAGTCACATGCGCTGGTTCCAGGCCTCGTGAGGTCAGGGTAAAGGTTGTACATCTACATCATGGCCTGATCAAGATCAGATGAGAGGGAGCAGGGTACAGGGAGGGGGTGCAATGGGGGCAGCTTTCAAGGACACCAGCCTCACACAGTGTCCCCGAGAAGCTGGCGGACCCCGAACAGCCCTCAGAGCACCAGTGGCGTTCATTCCCACTGTCTTACAGACTGCGGAGGATCAGCTAGCTGGAGGATCAGAGCCCCTGGGGCCGCAGGGCTGGTGACGGGCAGGGCTGGGTGGGGCAGAGCTGCATCACATGACACTTCTAACTCCTGTTTCCTTGGAACTCTGAGTGGGGCAGATTGTGTCTGACCTGTCTGACTCTCCCTGAGGCAACAGCCAGGCTCAGGGGGCGGGAGGGCAGTGCTCACGCAGGTTCTTCTTTTGGTCTGTTTAGCAACTTCCCGTGACTCTTAGGTAAGGACAGGTGTAAGCACCCCGGGGTGTGCGGCCTCCAACTACGCCTGGGGCCCCAAGGCTGTGTAGAAATGGACTCTGGCTTAGCAAAAGCAAATCCAAGGCCAAGAGCAAATTCTTTGACCACTGGGCAGAGGGTGGGGGCATATTAAATAAGCAGCCCCGTCCAGACCTTCTATTCAACACAGAATCTTCCAGCACCTTCTAAGTGTCACGCACAGTGAGGGGCAAGTTGGCACACATCTCCTTCCCGAGCCACCCTTTGCCCCTTTACAGCTCGGGACAGCCCAAATCTTCAGTCGAAGCCAGGGGTCACCGGGAGGGAAAGGTGAGCAAGGCCTGGGTCTCCACAGAAGTGAAGCTGCTGGCAAAGTCTTAGCAAATTCATGTGTACCTGCTATAAAGAGTCTTTTCCTCAAGTAATTCTGGGTGCTTTCCAAGCTGACCAATTCCCCAAAGCTTGTGATAGGCAGGGAGCTCTGCAGGGGGAGGAACGGGGTGGGCAAAGGCCCTGCGGTGAGGCGAGGAGGGCAGTGCGGGTGGCTACAAGCTGACAAGGAGTCAGGTGATGGAAGGAAAGTGAGCTTGCAGTGTGGCTTTTTGCGGGATGAGTAGGATCTCTCTGTGAGCTCCACTCGCAAGCCCCCTTCACCTAGAGGACCTTCTCTTTCCTTAGGTTTCGGCCCGGGTTCCACCTCCTCCCAGAAAGCGTGGATAGTCGTCCTCCCTCGACTGCGCTCAATCCCCTCAGACCCTCCTCCCTCCTCAAGGGAACCTCTGCCCTTGAAAGGCAAAGCTTTCCAGCCTTTGTGCTTCTGGCTGAGGCTCAGACTGTGGCCTGGAACTGGTGTTGGTGCTGGTGCTGGTCCTGGTGGGAGCCACCAAGCACAGCACCCAGGGCCGCCCACTGACAGGATGTGACAGGACGTCAACATGCCGTCGGCCCACCCCCGACCTTCAGGGCGCAAGCTCGCCTCATAGCACTCTGCGGTCTTCAGCCCCGGGGCTCCTTGGTCACCCCACATAGTCTTCACCCGGAACTATCGCCCCTCCACTCCAAAAGAATTCTAGAATCTTCCTCCCTTGCTCTTCCTGACAGCCCAGACCCTCTCCACCCTTGGCCGCCCTCTTCCCCAAACCTTCCACTCTTGCTCTGCCATCCGTCACTGGCCCTGATCTGGCTCAGACACCTCTTCAGGTGGCCGCTTCTGTCTCGTGTGTTCCAGGCAGGACCGAGCCACTACACACGGGCGTCTGCCGGCAACCAAACTCCAGGCGGCCAACGCGGCCAAGCTTTGCCCGCTGCACTCTGGCCCACTTCTCCAGCCCTCTGCTCGCAGACAAGCCCAGTCCTCACTGAGAGACCCCAGGTCACCACCAGAGTGCCCTGCTGTGCAGCCCCTCGAGGTGGCCCAGATCTCTCCGCCGCTGTGGACCTTCTGGAAAGGTGATGCGCGGCCCTTCCCGCTGCCCTCCGCTCCCTCCAGCTCCTGCAGGCCCGAACCGCAACTTGCACGCTTCCAACTCCAGTTGTCCTGTGTCCCCCGGTCTCGGTTGTCACACCCCCTTCCCGGCTTCCCAGGCTCCACCGCTGCTCCTCGGCCACCCAAAGCAAATCCTCCCGTCTCTCCCCTGCCAGTCTCATCCACCCCCTCGCTGTGCCCCCAGCCCTGGTGGCCGTGGCATCTTCCTAGCCTTCTCCTGCTCTTCCCCTCCCAGCAGGCGGCCTTGCCAGCTTCTTGTCTTCCATTATGAGAGCCCCCAGCAAGCCAAGGTTCCTAAAGGCGGGGGTCGCTCCCCGCCACTGCTGTCTCTGGGGACCCAGGCTGGCGGGTCCGCCTTCCTCTCTCTCCGCTGCTTCAGCTCTGCCTGCAGACCGGGTCCGTGAGTGCTGTGCCCTCACTCACCACCCCTTGGGGGCCAGGACTCCCAGAGGCTGACTTGTGACCACACCTAAATGTCGCCTTTCCATCAGGATTTTCCCACACAGCCCTGATTTCAGTATCCAGCTGGCAAGGGGACTTTCCACGCGGCTGTACTCAGGAGACCTCAAACCAGGTACAGCCCAGGGTAAGCTCAGTCACCCCACCAAGCTGCTCTTCTGGGGTCTCCAGTTCAGACCCTCCTGCAAGTGACCCACACCTGGAAGTGGGGCAGCCCCTCCTGCTCCCTCCTGGGAGTCCTACCCAGAGCTGGCCCCACCTCTCCACGGCTTTCCCAGGCCTCTGCTCCGCCCCGCGGGCCTGGGCCCTGCGCCCTCTTACCTGGACAAGGCTTCCAGCAGTATCGCCAGTCCGGCGAAGCTCTCTCGTGCATTCCCCAGGCTCTTTCAGAACAGCTCGTGGCTCCGTACCGAGAAGCCTTCCACTGCGCCCTACTGCTGCCACCGTTGGTTTGTACGGAGCTTTCTCGGCGCCAGCCCAAATCCCTCCGGCCTGCTCTGGCGCCCGGTCCAGGCGTCTCCTCCTCCTGCGGGCTCACCGAGGCAGTCACGGGGGGCTTCCCAACTTGCCCTGTGCCTTCCGGCCTCGGCGCCGTTGACCTGCCACTCTGTCTGGAGCGTCCTCCTGCATTCCCATCTGGCTAACTCTTGCCCCCTCATCGATTTCAGAAAAGGGACCAGCACCCCCAGAAATCCAAGCTAGCGTGTTCCTTCTCTCTCCTTCCCCAGGACCTCCCCGAGCCCTGGCAAGGGAATGCTTGCTTCCTCCCCCTCCTCTTCCCTCTCGGCCTCCTTCTCCCTCCCTCCCTTCCTTTCCCCTTTCTTTTTCTCCCTGTCCCTCTATCCGTCTCTCTCCTTCTCCCTGTCCCTGTCTCTCTCTCTCTCTCTCTGCTAGATTAAACTCAGAGCCTCATGAAGGCTAAGCACATGCTCTACCACTAAGCTACTCCCCCAGTTTGTACCCTGTTTTCTTCCCCAGCAGACAGAACTTCCTAAGAGCCCGGCTCTTTCTGCATCCGGGCACCCAGTGCAGAATCTGGCCCGGGTCAGAAGTGAGCGCACCTTAGCCGGGAAGGAATGCGTATTTGAGCAAACCTGCGCCTTCCCTGGGGGCGGAGGTGCTCGCGGTGGTGGCTTCCAAGAGAACCCATGCAAGACGGTGGGAGGCAGGGCTCCGATTGGAGAGGAGCATCCTAGAGTCAGGGAGAGCCGGGCAAGGCGTGGGGTTCGCAAGAGCAGGGCGTCGAGGAACTGCCCCCGGCTCTGCAGCAGAAGCCGAGCTGAGGGCCAGACGTGCCCCAAATGGATCTGGGAAAAGAGTGCGGGGCAAGGGCGGTGACGGTTTGCCACCGGAAGCTGGCTTTGCCCAGAGCAGAGCAGGGCAGCCCATGGGAGTGCTAGGGGACAGGAAGGGGCCAGGGGCCAGCAGTGCCAAACCAAGGGTCGGGGGTGGGGACGTCTGCGTGAGAGGGGAGGGGCGTGGCCCAGAGAGCGCAGGAATGGACTCCCCAGGGGCTTAGATGGGGGGGCGGACCCCGCGGTGCCCGGCTTGGGTTCCTGGGTGCAGGTGATGCAGCGCCAACACGGCGGCCCGGAGAGAAGCGGGACTGAGAGAAAGGAAAAGAGTAGGATTTTGCTTGCAGGACCAGCCCTGAAGAGGAGGCACTGGCAGGGGCCTCCAGGAGACTGGAGAGCTTCGGAGGGCCCCTCCCCAGGCAGAGCTGGGTTGGGAGTCAGGTCCAGATGTGCTTAGCTCAGGCCAGCTTTAAGGACTCCTTGTCGCGTTTTCAGGGATGGTGTGCGGCAGTGGTTACCCGGCTGTCCCTACCCTGAGACGGCCAGTTGGAGCAAACAAATACAACAGACCTGTTACGTGACGCCCGGCCGTCAGTCACCGTAGGCTGCAAAGTCAGTGCAAGCGTTCTCTGGCTATGTGCAATGTACAATAAGGGTATTGTCTGTTTTATATTAGTTGTAAATTGTTCACCATCCTCAATGTCAGTAAAACATGTATTAAGTGTAGGTGTATGTAGGTTCCTTTTCTGGGAGTCCATTGCTAAACATCTGCAGCACATGGCAGGGCAGACTGCCTCGGGTGAGGCGACTCTGGAAAGGGGTGGGGGGCAGAATCCCTGAAATCACCCTGTGGAGGGAGGTGGGGCTCAGGTGGGAGGACTGGCCAGGCAGGTGTGGAGACCCCCAGGGCAGTGTGGGTGGGAGTGGCCGGAGGCTCCCCCTGTGCTCTGCAAACCTCCCTGAGAGTGGGAGCCGGGCGGGCTAGGGAAGCTGGGAAAGGAAGGTTTCGGCCCACGCTGCCAGCGGGGAGCCAGGAGAATCCAGTCCACAACAGTCGGAACCGAGAGTGGGAGGGGAGAGACGTCTAGCCCGCCACGCTCCCGCGGGAGTTGCTGCATTGATCTCCCAGGACGATCCTGGGAGGGGGCTTAGGACACTGAGGTCTTTATCCACAGCCTCAGCTCTAAGGGCCTGAGTCGGGATTTGAACACGGGCGGCCCGCACTGTTGGCCAGGCGGAGACTGCACAACTGAGAGACTTCTCAGCAAAGCCCCCAGACTGCGCAGATTCCCACCCCGAGGACGGAGACCCGCAGGACAGGGCTGACAGCAGGTCACCGGTTGATGGCGTCACGAGGGCTGGTGAGGCCGCCCCACGTCTCTAGCTTCCATCCTCGGCTGCCTGCTTCCCAGAGTGCTCCCCGGCCTGGAGGCTCTGACCACCCCACCCTGCCTGGTGACTCTGACTGTGGCACAGCGGTGGGCTTTTTTTTTTTTTT